CTTAGAATATTGATCTGAGAGAACATTTTGTGGCTCATGTTAAAAACATTTCGTGGATTCAGGCGCTTCTCATTGGTTCGGTAAACGAAGCTTACAATATTGAATAATGCTGTCGCAAAAAACAGAAGAGGTCTAACTGTTCTGAACTTCATGTCCGCTAACCTGTTCGACCATTGTTACTACCTTGATGTGGTGGTCAGGCTTGTCCATCTTGATGAAACAATCGAGCTATACTGGCTACAGTAATTGTTCCTCAAGGTCCTACCGTGTCAGACAGGTAGGTCGAAGAGCGGTTAAACTGAAAGCAACAAACCCAAGGTCCAACGATGAATTCGCACTACTGACTGTACAGAAGTATGGTGGCAGTAAGGTGTTTCCTTCAAACAACCAGCATGACAGCGATGCTGCCTCTTTACAACCAGGGGTGGGGTTAGAAAAGGTCAACCCTAAAAATGCACACCTCGCCCTATCCCACCGATATCCGTCTCCGGTAGTAAGGTTTCAACACGTAAGGAGCTAACACGGAAATCGCTCACAAAAGGGTCGTGTGTGACCGACCTCAAGCAGTTGTCCCTTGGGCAGTGCGGCCACTCTCTCAGGTTATTAAAACCACATCTGATCCAATTTCATTTTCAGGCACCTCCAGTAGTATCCTTCCACGGTGTGGGTAACCGGGAAGTGATAACCACGCTCATACCTCTAACAGCATTCAAAACCCGTTAACCTGTGCATCCAAAATCTGTTGTCATACGTCAACGAATTACACTCATGATTGTGATGCACATTCCAACGAACAACAGTCCAGCCACCAATAAATTTACAATAGATGAATACAGGACAATTAGTGTTCATCGCATCGCTCCATGAACAAGATAATAACACCATTCAAATTACCTTTCCAGTCTAATTGTCTGTGAGGATCCTCTGGACGTTTTACGGTCATTTCTCAAATATGCAAATTGAATATACGGCTTTTGTTCCTTATGGAAATGTGAATCGTGAACTGCATAATCACATTACATAACCCTCTCATAAATTCTGACTGCACTGTTTAACACTTTAATTGATTGCAACCCCACCACCATACACAAAGTACTGAAGAACGCGTTATCCATGTCAGTGACAATGTGAGAAACGATAGAGCTTGTAATTTGTACATTATTTACTTTCATAAATTGTAGAGAGATGGATCAATCGAGAAGTATTTCCAACTTGTATGAATTTTCAGAAATGTATAACCAATTATTGTCTATTTAAAACTAATCATTTAATTGAATGAAATGATGAAAAATGTTTTAAACCTGGATGAAAGACATTTTTATTTAAAAATACAAAAAAATCGTGGGATAAATTATATTTCTCTGTAGCAGTAGGCCTTAACATACACAAAGGATGAACCAAGATCCAATCCACTCACACTTAACGGGGAAACTTTGGAAGATGTGGAATCTTTCGTATACATGATATGGTTCGTATCATCGATGAAGTAGGAGGATATGATTGCAAGGGTAGAGGCAGGTGTTGACATAGCGAGGGCCGCGTTCCTACAGCTGAACAACATATGGAATTCAAAACAACTGTCAATCAACATCAAAGTGAGGATCTTCAACACGAACATCAACACAGTTCTATTCCGTGAGATGGATAGTTTGGTAGTGGAGCTTTCATCGTTATTCTGAACAACATCAGCAGCACAAACTTCAGGTAGAAGTGATATGTTTGAATTTCTCCACATATGGCTCATAGCATGTCCTGTAGATATCAATGTTGACTGTTTATTGTTGACTTTTCACCTGTTATTGTTTACATTTTTATTTTTATTGTATCTCCCATTGATTTGACTCTTGATCCTATATTTATCCATAATTTTTCTGATTAGTTGATAAATTGGATCGATTTCGATTTACTTGTTGATTACTGATTGAATTGAGTGCCAAGCTTCTGAAAATTATGTGATGTTTCTTTAGAATTGCCTCTATCTAATATTTCAACATATTTTTCCAATTGAATATATGTTCAAAATTGTTCACATACAAAAACGTTAGTGCTTTTAACATATTGAAGATCATGCATATTTAAGTGTAACTTCATGATGATGATAATATCAACTGTCAGACTAAGATTTTTAATATGAGACATGTGACATACTCTTCTAGCTTATACTTACTTACTTACTTACTGACTGACTCACGACTGTTACCCCTCAAGGAGGAGTAAGACCGTCCACCATCATCATCCATCCAACTTTGCCCTGGACAATACTTTCCAGTTCTTTCCAGTTGTTATTTATCCTTTTCATATCTTCTTCCATTTCCCGACGTAATGTGTTCTTCAGCCTTCCCGTTTTCTGTTTCCTTTGAGGATTCCAAGTTAGGACTTGTCTCGTAATGCAGTTTGGTGATCTCCGTAATGTATATCCTATCCACTCTTCAGATGGAAGTTGGTTTGTTCTTTGCTACAGTAAGCTGTTCCTGATGATATCCAGTCAACGGATATTGAGTATCTTGCGTAGACAACTGTTTGTAAATACTTGAAGATTCTTGACCATGGTTGTAGTAGTTCTGCATTTTTCCGCTCCGTACAGTAAAACTGTCTTGACGTTCTAATTGAAGATTCTCACTTTGATATTGGTTGATTGTTCATTAGAATTTCATATGTTGTTAAATTGTAGGAAAGCCGCCCCTGGTTTGCTAATCCTTGCCTTTAAATTTCTATCCGATTCTCCTTGTTCATCGATGATGCTTCCCAGGTACGTGAAAGATTCCAAATCTTTCAGAGTTTCCCCGTCAAGTGTGATTAGTTTGTTTGGGGTTCCCCGTGCTGTATTTGAGGACCTTTGTTCATTCTTTGTGTATGTTGTGGTCTACTGATGCAGATACTGCTGCTACACTGTTTGTTTTGACCTTCGTTCATCTGTGTGTATGGAATAGAAGGACCAGATCATCTACCAAATCCAAATCGTCTAACTGATTCTGAGCTATCCATTGTATTCCATGTTTGCCCTCAGATGTCGAGATCCTTATAATCCAGTCAACCACCAAAAGAAAGAGGAATAGGGATAGTAGACAGTGTTATCTGACTTCGGTCCTTAATTGGATTGCATCTATCAGCTGTCCTCCATGCACACAACGTTTCACTGTAGTTCGTCGTATAAGTTCCGGATAATGTTGACAATCTTCTCAGGAACTCCACAGCTTGTATTTCACACAAGCTAATACTGTAAAATTAGTTACATTTATATAATATATTCTTTTAATTGTTGCATTCATGAGTGAATTATAACTAGACTACTGTGCGACTCCTCAGCAATGCACATCCACGATCCTGTCTCACGAGATTTAAACCCAGTACCTATCAATCTCTCGCGCGAGCACTTAACCATTAAACCACTGAGCCGGTAAGCATCCAATAGTGATAATGTCTAACTTCAATCAATCCACGAAATTGCACCACAGTCTACCATTGTCATCAGTGACTTACTATCTCACAATAGACCCTATTGAACTCCATTGATCATGGCTTCCCAGTAGAATTCCAGAAAACACCTCTTGGAGACCTTCACTAATGAGCATATAATAACCCCTCACTTATTATAATATTTTCTTTATTATAATGATAAATATCACTATCATAAATAAGAAGTAAATAAGTTCAAATAAACAAAAGTGTTGATTAGACTAATTATAAAAGAAAATCTATAAAATGATAAATAATTAAATAAGATTAAGTTGACCTTCAATGTTTCTAATAAAACAAACAAAAATGTAGATGATCATCAATATTCATGTTCAATAATCTCTATATATATACCCCTTATATATAATATACAATGAATTAAATAAACCTCTTAGTGATTGGTATGTTGTAGTTAATTCTTTAAAAAAAAAAGATTTTTTTTTATTTTTAAAGGTCATTTTTTAAAATTACAAAAATTAGAAAAAAAACTCTTTTTTTCTGATTGGTCAATTCAAGTAACCATATACAGACTTGACAACTATAATTATTCAGTTTGAGACAAATTTATTTATTCTCTTATAATACACTAAGTAATCAAAGTATGTGTTATAATTTGTAATAATGTTTATTATCAGAATAGGGATTATTATTATTATTATTATTATTATTATTATTATTATTATTATTATTATTGGATATTATAGTTAATTTTTAATAGTTGAAGTCATATTTGTGTTGGTCCTTCACGACTCCCTCGCTGACTGGGGTCCTAGAGATGGTGCAACACAGTGGCTAGAGACGTTATTAGATATGACCCAAAATAGAAACCAGTGGCGATCCTGCTGAAACTTTATTTTACTTTCTTCATAAAAAGTGGTTGCTTCCTCCTTAACTGAAGGATTTCTTCTGATTGTACCTTTCTGTTTCCCCCATTATTATTAGTATTACACTACCTTACACTATTCTGTTTGTTATTGTTCTTTTTTTTCTCTTCTCATTCTCATTGTTTTGTGTGGCGCATATATATTTGGTGCCCTATTGTACCAATATTTATGTGTTCAAATAAAACAAATAAATAAATAATAAATGAAATGAAATCATGAATCAATTAAAGTCAAAACTATTAGTCCTTTACTAGAATAAAATAGCTATTTAGTACTTGTAGGTTTTGCATAATGATCTAGCTTCAAATGATTCATAATGATCTTTACTATTCAAATAATAATTATATATATAACTAAAATGTGATATCTGTTCCTTTTAAACAAAGATAGATAGTTGATATCAATGGATTCCAGTTTGATATGCGTTTCATCCTATTTCGGAACTCATCAACTGGATGTATCTACATCTCAAAGTTGATGAACACTCTAAGACTTGAATCTAATACTGTTCGCTTCAAAATCCATCATGTTATCTACTTAACTACTGAGTCCTGATAGCCACTTGCTTATATATTTGGATTGAACTTTTAAATTCACTTGATGTTTTGTTTTACTTGTTTTCGTTGAATCAATTCTTCTTTTTTTTTAAATATTTTATAGAGACTAATGTTTAATTTAATCCAATCAATATGGTTTATTTCTATGATCTTTCTCAATTCTATAACAAATCAATTAATCAATAAAATTCATGTTACTATGATACATGAAAAAATGATTTTTTCAAATCAATCAATAAATTATGTAAGTTATTTTTTTATATTAATTTCTAATAAATCAATAGTCTAATCGTTATTATTATTTAGAATTAATTAAAATGAATCAATTTCTTCCAATTATATTTGATAATGCCATGGCAACAACAATGAATGAACAAGAAACTTTGGTAATTAATTAATTAATTAATTGATCGATTGATTGATTGATTATATATTTTTTCCCTTTTAAAATCTAATTATTTAGATTATAAAGCCTCCATTTCAAATCTTCTATTATGGATTACCTTTTACATCTGTCGAAATATTGATTAATGGTAATTGAATAATAATAATTAATTGTTTCAAGACCCTCTATCATCTTCAAAAGATTAATCTATAAATGAAGATTATTCTTTCTGATTAATTCTCTTCAAGTTCTACAATTCAATATATCCCATATATATCCCGAAAATTGGTCAAGTTTAAGGCAAAGCGCATCGTTTTAAGCTAAAGCATGTGAACTGTAAGATTGTTAAGCAAAATAGAATAATTTCAATAGTTAAAGTTAGACTACCATTGAAAGCATGGGAGCACTGAATGGCCGTTTCGTCTTATTGTATGACTCTTCAGCATAAAATTGTTCATGTTGATATGACTCAAATGGAATGTTAACATGAATCTGCATCTATGTCAATTAAAATTGTTAAGATCCATGATCTGAATAAACATGGATCAGATAGGATGAGAGAAGTAATAGTGCAATTACGATTCGATCAAATAGTTACTGGAAGATGATTAGTAAGACATAATAAAGTGGGATGAGTGTGAAGTGAAGGAATCATGTATTGGGAGGATTAATAATGATGTTTAACCATATTAATAACATTACAAAGATTTGTGAATAAAGGTAACAGAGACAACTACACTTGACTACGAAAGGTCGTAGGTACAATAGTCAAATTAGGTCAGTCAATAGCTAGGACTACTATTGATTAATTGGCCTTGAAGTTGGTCAGAGGAGTAGAAGTGTTTGAAGATATTTCATAAGTCTGACAAGCTATGACAAAAAATTACTGACCCTATGAATAATTGGAAAGGGTTAGTTTATACTGGCACTATGAACAGTTTGTACTAAAAGGGTCAATATCGAGCTGTTAACTTTAGCCATCAAACAATGTACTTTACCCTAAACCTGGCCATTTTTTGGATTATTAGTTTGAATATATTGGATTGTAGAACCTGAAGAGCATTTATCGAAAAGCATATTCTTCGTTCAAATATACAATTTAGTTATTTTTTAAAATATTATTCTTAATTTCTTAATTGCAATTGACCATTCTGTTATTGGCATATGTGCATAATGTGCGTATTGCCTCGATATAGCCTTAATTCACAAGCATTATATGCCCCAGAATGAACATCGACTCTGAGGTGCAGGTACATCCAGCTGACGAGTCCCAATTAGGACAAAACGCGCGTCCTAGATTCCACTTCTAGCCACTATCTATCTGTATATAAGTTAGGTTTTGTTTTGATTCCTTACACATAATACAATGTTTCTATGTTTGAATTTTGACTATTTTAAGTGCATGCGTTTCATAATAAGGTTGATCTTATGAGTAAGAAAAGTACTGAAAATCAATCCAAATTATTGACAAACATTTATATGTAGAGTCTGATAGTCTGATAGTCTGATATGATAGATCTTCGATTTCCCACAGATGAAATCACGAACCGATTATGGCCAGACCACTGTTGGAGACCTGAAAGAACTCAAACAGAGATTCAGTCTTAGTACAAGAGTCATTACCACGCAACCACGACTCCACATCCAGATATTGAACCAAGTGTATTCAGTTTAGTATGGATGCTAAGCTTATAAATCACTTAGCCAACATCTAATGTTGTGTATTTCTAACCATAGCAACTCTCCTACAATCAGTTTCGATTTTGGTTAACTTTGATTAAGTCCTTTTATTAACAGACAATTTTGTTCGAACAGGAAAAATCTTCAGATAACTTAGTACTATTATGATCACCATCATATTTGTATAAACATGTAAGCTTGATCACATAATAAACTCTGGCTAAAATGTTGATAGCTTAAATGTTGCTCGATGAATCATTGTCATTTTATGTACGCGAATCCTATTGTTAGCCTTTTCTTTCCCTTACTGTGCCCTTATGCAATTCGACTATAAGTTTACCTCTGTACTTGCTCGCATACATACATTTATCTTTCTGCTTCAAATTCACTTGATGTGCTTATAGCTTTGTAATCTGTGCTATCCACTGTAGTCGCCGCTTCTTATTGCCTCCAGATTTCAAACAACGTTGGGATTTGTATGATAACGGTTACAAAGGTGATTGATTAACGAAGCAAAGACACTACATAATTTAAGTCCATTCGCGATATTGCGCAACCATCTTCCATTGTTGTAGATAACACTCTCACATCCCATATAGTTAAACTCAAATGGTCATAGCTTCTCACTGGAACTCCATGAGTTATATGATTAAAGCCAGTCACTATTGAATACATTGATTATTATTAGTATAGGAGGATTAATGAAAAGATAAAACTATACTTAATATTTTGTAGCATATAGACGTTTATATTCGTTAATTGGATCACACTATTTAAATCTTTATATCCAGTTATATCTAAATTAATGATTAATATAATTGTATTTAGATAAAGTTTTGTTCTCTAAGCTGGATGGTTGGATCATGAAGCTTTCAGATAGAAGTTTGTACTGATGATGTCGTTTAGAAGAATGATAAAAGCTCAATGACCAAAACTATCCAGCTCAGAGAACATAATTCCATCAAAAATCCTATACCTGAACTACAAATCTTCTTCACAATTGTACTTACATTAAAAAGAACATAATCACCTATTTATTCGATGATCATAAATACTACTTGATCATTTTCTAGTATATTCAAGTTCATCTCGATAAGTTTCTGTACCCGATTTTTGTTGTTGTTGTTGTTGTTGTTGTTGTTGTTGTTGTTGTTGTTGGTTTACCTAGTTGTATATACTTTAACTTTTCTATTGATGAATCCAAATCATCTAATTATTAATAATCTTTTTGATTATTAGGTATCATACGCCTGTCGAATGAATCCAATTTATCAGAAAAAGATAGAATAATTAGATCTTATAAAGAATTTATGGTTGATGATGGTAAGTCTGACTATTGAATTCATGGCGAGACTATATAATTTATGGATGAACCAATCAGGTATTAGACCATAGGTCACGGATTTTGGCGCATCCATTTGGCTAAATAGTGTTTTGGCATTGTAAATGATGTCAGATCGTGATGAAAACCTTAAATCTAATTTCTAACCATAATCATCAACTGTTAATCATAATTCTAATTCCTCATACAGGTATATAACTCTCATTTGGTCCTAGTTATTGAGTGAACACTCTCAAGGTCAGTCTAGCGTTTCTCAAATGTCGTCCACAAATTATAGTCTCACCGAATCAATTAGATTAAGTTTTGATTGAAATCATGAGTCGATTGAAACTAGACTACCATGGAAAACCTGGAAGCACTGGAAGGCTGCTTCGTCCTATTACTGGACTCCTCAGCAGTGCGCATCCACGAACCCTCACCTCGCGAGATTCAAACCCTGGACCTATCAGTCTCGCGCCAGGCGCTTAACCAACTAGACCACTGATCCGGCATCCAATGGTATTAATGTCTAACCTCAACCAATCCATGTAATTGAGCGACCATCTTCCATTGTACTGAGGTCGACACTTGTTTCTACCCGACACGGTAGATTTGACATCGATAATTCATGATCATAGGACAGTATATTTTCATATCTGTTAGAAAAAGTCTTCGTAATTAATTCGAATTTGATACAGAATACTTGACATAAATATTATTTTGTAGAGCCAGTAAAACGTTACTGAGCCCTAGTCAAATAATCTGGCAGTTGGATAACTGAATATCGAACAGATCATCGATCCCTCGTAAAGGTGGCGGTTGTCTTACTTTCGCTTGTATCTACTTTAACTAATATATTTCTGTAATAACTTCATTTGTGTTGTACAGTCTTCAAAGCATCGGTAGTACCTTGGTACGTTGATGGGATAATCTACGTAAGGTGTTGACCTCGAGTTGTGACTTTGACGCTAGCTGGTTCGCCATACCTTCCCCGTCTAAATCTAGTGGGCTCCCAATCATTTGACGTAGAACATCTACCCTGATGATCTACAATTTCCTAAATGAGATGGAAATGTGAACTTCATACTAACAACATTCCTTTCTCTTCAATGTTATTAATAACTGAACAACTAGCTAGAGGATTATTTTTACTGATTACTTACTTAATTACACTTTTTACTCCTTGTGAGGCATAGGCCACCAAACAGGGATCGCCCATTAGATGTCCTGGACTCTACTCTTTTGACATCTGCCCCCAATACCTGGTGCAAAGTGTTCCTCGATATGTCTAACTTATTTTAGCGCTTAGAGTAAAAAGTTGGAGATCACGTTTTGATGCAGTTTAAGGGTTTCTTTAGAGTGTGACTGATCCATCTCAATCATCTTTTCCTAGTCTCCGCCCCAAATATAAGCTGATTTATTCTCTGCAATGGTAGATTGTTGTTGATGGTGTTTAGATAATGGATTCGGAGTATCTTATGTAGAACTATGTTTATAGTTACCCGTACTTCTTTGATGATGGTTGGAGTAGTAGTAGTAGTAGTAGTAGATTGTTGTTGATGGTGTTTAGATAATGGATTCGGAGTATCTTATGTAGAACTATGTTTATAGTTACCCGTACTACTTTGATGATGGTTGGAGTAGTAGTAGTAGTAGTAGTAGTAGTAGTAGTAGTAGTAGTAGTAGTAGTAGTAGTAGTAGTAGTAGTAGTAGTAGTAGTAGTAGTAGTAGTAGTAGTAGTAGTAGTAGTAGTAGTAGTAGTAGTAGTAGTAGTAGTAGTAGTAGTAGTAGTAGTAGTAGTAGTAGTAGTAGTAGTAGTAGTAGTAGTAGTAGTAGTAGTAGTAGTAGTAGTAGTAGTAGTAGTAGTAGTAGTAGTAGTAGTAGTAGTAGTAGTAGTAGTAGTAGTAGTAGTAGTAGTAGTAGTAGTAGTAGTAGTAGTAGTAGTAGTAGTAGTAGTAGTAGTAGTAGTAGTAGTAGTAGTAGTAGTAGTAGTAGTAGTAGTAGTAGTAGTAGTAGTAGTAGTAGTAGTAGTAGTAGTAGTAGTAGTAGTAGTAGTAGTAGTAGTAGTAGTAGTAGTAGTAGTAGTAGTAGTAGTAGTAGTAGTAGTAGTAGTAGTAGTAGTAGTAGTAGTAGTAGTAGTAGTAGTAGTAGTAGTAGTAGTAGTAGTAGTAGTAGTAGTAGTAGTAGTAGTAGTAGTAGTAGTAGTAGTAGTAGTAGTAGTAGTAGTAGTAGTAGTAGTAGTAGTAGTAGTAGTAGTAGTAGTAGTAGTAGTAGTAGTAGTAGTAGTAGTAGTAGTAGTAGTAGTAGTAGTAGTAGTAGTAGTAGTAGTAGTAGTAGTAGTAGTAGTAGTAGTAGTAGTAGTAGTCTGTCTTCATTTCTCAGCATCATGTGTTCTTTTAATCTTCCGCTTCTACTTTGGCCTCGATGATTCCAAGTGAGGGCTTACCTTATGATGCAATTGTGAAATCGCTAAAGAAAACAAAGTATTTTGAATATTTAAAAGTTTACTTTTCGAATTCTTAAATACTACTGATTTACTACTATTTGTCAATTATTTGTTATTTATTATTATTATTATTATTTTTAAAATCGATTATACGTCTAGGATGTAATTGGATGAATATGTATCAGATGGAATTGATTAAAGTTTTCAATGGAATACCATTTGGGAGTACAATAAAAACAATAAACAATGGTAAGTATAGAAAGTTTACTGATTATATTAAGTTACGATTTGAAAGGTTCGAAACTTGATTACAATTGAGATGATAGTGAAGATTTATAACTCATGTGGATGATTTTAATAGAGTTTTATTCTTTAAGCTGAATGATTTGATTGTGTAGATTTCATTGTTATTCTGAACGACATCATCAGCACTAATAAACCTAAATTAGAACTTAAAGTATACCCTGAACTACTTTACTAGTCACAAGTCAAAATTACACTACTACAGACTTTGAGATGGTGGAGAAGATTTGTAGCTCAGGTGGATGATTTTGGTGGAGTTTTGTTCTCTGAGCTGGATGGTTTGGTCGTGGAGCTTTCATCGTTCTTCTGAACGACATCATCAGCACTAATAAACCTAAATTAGAACTTAAAGTATGCCCTGAACTACTTTACTAGTCACAAGTCAAAATTACACTACTACAGAAAATATCAGGATTTTCTTTCAGTACATCTAACTGAGATTGATCAGATTTAATTCCGATAGTCAAACAACAAGTTAACATAAACCTTCACAAATAAATTCTCACAGTTCTGTAGTTGAATAAAATGGCCGATCAATGATGTTATTCTACACAAGTATTTTTTAACCTCTCAGTGATCATAAAATTTATAAATGTACTATTGATAGTCATTGGATTGGTTAGTTCCAAATAAATTGAACATTGAGTAGAAAGTTAATGGTAAATATGTCTGTTGTTATATCCCAATGAATACGAAAATTGTATTCCTGACGTTTCGTGACTTAATGTAAGTCACTTCTTCAGAGTAAATAAGATAACCGACATTAAATAAACACGAGTTTGAATAGTACAAATGAAACAATGCAAAATATATATATAATACATTTAAAATCATAATCTGTTTGAATATGTCAATTTCAAGTTATTCTTGGTTAAAGTGACTTTCTATGACCTGTCACTGTATTAATTTATATTTCAGAATGAAGTCATAAAAAGTGCATGTACTTGTAAAATGAAGTAGTGCAGTTAAAATTAGATGTGTATATTGTATGAAAAATAAGCAAGGTCATATAGAGTTATTTCAATGATTAAGATCATGAGTCAGTTGAAGCTAGACTACCATGGAAAACCTGCAAACACTGGACGGTCGTTTCGTCCTATTGTGGGACTCCTCAGCAGTGCGCATCCATGACCTCGCCCCCTGCGAGATTCGAACACAGGGCCTCCTGGTTTTGCACGCGAGCACTTAACCACTAAATCGCTGGGCCGGCATTCAACGGTGTTAATTTCTAATTTCAACTAGTCCACGAAATTGAGTGACACATCCACCATTGCCTAGTACTTCCAGGTTTTCCATGGTGGTCTAGCTCCAACTGACTCATGATCTTAACCATTGAAATTACTAGGATATCCACAAAACCCATCTGATATTAATCATATATAGTTGTTTGGAAAAACATTCTGGGTTGGATGAATATTCAAACCTTCTTTCTGATTGCGGGCAGAGGAATTTAGCATAATGTGAAACACTTCAGCTACTTGCCCATCTTAACAGTTGGAAAAGCCTTTCTGAATTGTTTCGATATTTTTTTAATATCAATTTAGTGATGATTGAAAATAGCATGTACTGTCATTACTGATTTAACTTGTAAATTTTCCAATTCTACAGGATTATTAGAGGGTCTTTTTGTGTAACTTATGTGTTCCTTGACACGAGTCCAGATCTCATGGAAAGACATTTTAATATAGAACGCATCACAATCGACACAACCTAATCTATAAACACAATTATGTGTGAAAGTGAACGGGACATTATGTTTAATTCTAACTAAAGTGTGTCTGAGATTGTTTGACGTCATATAAAGAACTTTAATTTTGTTTGTTTTTAATATCCATTATAATTCTTTTGTCGTAACTTGGTGGTACGGTAACCTAAGATCTTTTACTAGGATCGTTACTTAAAGAAGGATAGTTTTGTTTAAATATACTTTTAATAACATCCTTAAGAAAATTGTTAAATTAAGGATGTTTATTACATTATCTTTTTCTTTTAACTCGTCTTCTTCTGAAATAGTGATCTTCGCTACTCCTCTGAAAAAAATTCAGGGTTAGGGAAATTTTCTCACTGAATAGGTATGCAAAGTTAAAATCAATATACCGATTGGAATGTATCAGTTTTCGGTATATGGCTAGATCTAGACTTTAATTTGGATTCCTTTCAACCAAACACTTTAAGAATGATAGTTCACTATGTTCATATTCTTTTTCGAAAGTGGATTTGATACGTTCTGAGAGCGTGTCTACGCGTTTGAAGAAATTTCTAAGAAATCTTTTTTAGAATGACAAATGTGTCATCTAGATATCTGAGCCAGATGCTTGATTTGATGGTGCTGGCAAAAATAAGCGAATCAAGGTGAGACGTAATTAAATTTGCAACAATCGGAGATACTGGAGGCCCCGTGGTTACTCCATTCATCTCATTGGAAGTGAAAAGTGTTGAATTCAAGCATAAATTGAGGGAGTTCATGATTGAACTAATCCCTAATGAACATCTGCTAAATAGAGTTTTATCATTCTCTAGTAAACTATTAACGAAGTCTAGACACCTATAAATTGGAATGCTAGGGTATAAAGATATATCATAGCTTACTATTGTTTGGTTCTTGTTGATGGATAAGTCCGAGGTCTTCTACTTGAATTCGCATGAATCCTTTACGATATTGATTAGGCTGTGTTGAACTGGCTTCAGTATGCTCCTTAGATATCTAGATAAAGCATATGTTATAGTATTTGTAAAGTCCTTTATGAGCGATGAAGAAATGTCAGGCTTGTGACAATCGTTCTATTTTTCTCAAATGAGCTCAAACCTTTCAATTAGGTGGGAGGGATATTTGTTTTGTCAATATGTGAGATGTTTTTTTGACGTATATATGTGATTGATTGTTTAGAAGCTTTTTGTGTACCGGTCCTAGAATTGTCACGATTTCTAGAGTATTGACAGGTTTCCAATGTAAATTAAAGTTTAGTGCTCTTTCTAGTAAAGTGATTTCATGAGTGCCAAGAGTTTTGTTTGAAAGATAATAAAATACCCTTAGATCATAAAGAGTAGTTCTTGGCAGTGATGTTTTCTTTTCTTTGTGGTTCACATTAAGTCATGGAACATCAGTAATACAATATTTCTACTCATTGGAATATTATTAGTACTAGTTTATTCACTTCCATGTACGTGATATGTTTAAATAATTTGTTGAAATTGTATTGGATACACACGAAAATATGCAGGTGAAGACAACTAGTCTAGCAGCAGAATGTGCATCGATAAGCCTCAACATGCACAAAAGAAAAAGCAAGATTCTTGTATACATAACTCAAAACATCAACTTAATCACACTTGTTGGAGAAGCTCTGGAATATGTGGAATCTTTCACGTACCTGGGAAGCATCATCAATGAACAAGGCGAATAGGATAAAGACGTAAATGTGAGGATTGGTAAAACAAAAGCCATATTCTTACACTTGAAGAACATATGGAACTCAAAACAACTGTAGATCCATATCAAAGTGACAATCTTCAATACGAACGTCAATACAGTTCTACTGTACGGAGCGGAAACAGGCAGAACTACCACAACCATCATTAAGACAGTACAAGTACTTCCAGACAACTGTCTACACAAGATACTTAGTATCCGTTGACTGAATACCATCAGCAATAGCCTTCTGTGGGAGAGAACAAACCAGCTTTCATCTGAATAGGAAATTAAGAAAAGACATTAGAAGCGGATAGGACATACATTGCGGAAATCATCAAAGTACATCATGAGATAAGCCCTAACTTGGAATCCTGGAGGGAAGCAGAAAACAGGAAGGCCGAAGAACACACTACGTCGAGAATAGGAAGCAAACATGGAAAGGATGAATAGGAACTGGAAACACCTGAAAGGGATTGTCCAGGTCAAAGTTGGATGGATAGTGCTGGTGGGCGTTCTATAATCTTCCACCACGATTAACAGGCGTAAGTAAGTAAAATGCATAAATGTACTAAAAGTGATAATTACCGAATAAAAATGTCATTTATTAAAGGAAGAACAATAATTAATATGCAATGAACTGAATTCACTACATTTTATTTCCCATTCATTTGTATAGATATATAGAATGTTTTGCACAGTAACATGTATAATTACCATGTGCTCACTAGTAAGATGATTCTCAGAGTTCCAGTGAGAAGTTGTGACCAGTGGAGCTAATCTGTGTCAGTTAGAGACAACGGAAGTGCAACAGAAGATGGTCGAACAATTCCGTAGATTGGTTAAGGTTAGACATTAACACCATTGAACGCCGGCTCATTGGTCTAGAGTTTGAGCGTTCGAGCAAAAAACCAAAGACCCCAATTTCAAATCGCACAAGTGGGATATTGGATGTGCACTTCTGAGGAATCCCACAACAGGATGAAATGGCCGTCCAATGCTTCAAGGTTTTCAGTGATGGCCTAACATCAATCAGTTCATGATCTCAATCTAAAATCATTTAGTTTACTAGTGAAAAAACAATTATAATCACTTTCTATATTCATACAAGTTCAATTAATGCGAGAGAAATAGAAAGTGAGGATGAGAATAAGATGTAAACGTGTAATAATGATGATAATAATAGTTGCAAAGATTATGAGAAAATGGAAGGCTGAATCCATCATAACCATAATCTTTTTCAGAATGGTTATTACAATTAGTCTAATTATCAATTATACATTAACTTATTCGTAATTTATAGATGAATATCTGGCAATCCAATGGTCTTATTCCGGTGTACATTCTAACAATGAAAAAAATATTGAAGATCATGGTAAGTTCAATATTTCACTACTATATTTGATACTAGTTTGAATTGTTTGTTTGAATCTCCTCATTGACCAGTCTCTTATTGGTATATATGCATCCTATACGAATTGTCACGATATTAACTTAAGTTAAAAGTATTATGGTTAACGTTTTTTTAACGAGTTAGTTTTCTAAGGGATGAGGTCGCTAACCCAATGCCCAACCCTCCTCCTTTACCGGGGTATGGGACGGGCAGTAACTCTAGAAGAGCTACAGGCGGAGTTGAAACTTAGAGAACTACAACAACCACAATCAGGAAAGTACAAGTATTTATAAATAGTTGTCTACGCAAGATACTCAACATCCATTGGCCGGATACCATCAGCAACAGCCTTTTGTGAGAGAGAACAAACCAGCTTCTAGCTGAAGAGGAAATTAGGAAAAGACGATTAGAATGGATAGGACATACATTACGCAAATCGTCAAACTAAATCACGAGACAAGCACTAACTTGGAATCCTGAAGAGAAGCGGAGAAGAGGAAGGCCAAAGAACACATTACGTCGGGAAATCGAATCACATATGAAAAGGATGAACAACAACTGGAAAGTATTACCCAGGACAGGGTTGGATAGAGAATGCTGGTGAGCGGCCTATGCTCCTTCACGAGGAGTAACAGCCGTAAGTAAAAACGTACAAGTATTATAAACAAAGATGGATGATGATAAGCAGGTACATCCAGCTGATGAGTCTCAAATAGGACGAAACACATATACTGACTTCTATTACTAGCCACCATTTATCTTTTTCATCCAAAAATTGATTAGTTTATTTATATTCGATGAGCTTTTTTTTAAATAATCTATTCTCAAATCTTCAGTTCAAGTGGTTTGTGTTTTATATGCCAACGGCAATATATCAATCTATTATAAAAAGGTAAGCTCAATAATAAAATGGAAATACTTAACTTAATTTGTTTAAATTAATCAAACATTTGTGTATTATAAGCATAAATTATATGACAGATGATTCTTGCTTATCATTGTAAAAACGAGTTGCATATCACTACTAAAACATTTAATGATTAATTTTAATAGTTGAGATCATGAATCAATTGAAGCTAGACTACCATGGAAAACCTGGAAGCACTGGATGGCCATTTCGTCCTACTGTTGCACTCCTCAGTAGTGCGCAACCACGATCCCGCCTCACTAGATTCGAACTCAGGACCTATCAGTCTCACGCGCGAGAGCTATTAAAATTATTAAAACTATTAAAATTACTATAATATCCACAAAACCCATTCTGATATTTCCGTATTAAATTGCTTTAAAACAAACATTTTGAGTCGTTTTACTGATATAGTGGCTGAAGTTCATGAGACTATTTGCATTTCCTCTGTTCATCATTTTGAAACATTCTTAATCGAAATAATTTCAAAAGTTTTCGGAATGTACTGAAGTGAAGGGAGTTATTTTGTGACATTTTACGTCTAACTGATATTCATGTGGGCATGAATGGAGCAGAGAGCCGCCTCATCTTACCTAGTGCTTCTCACAGATGCTACAATTAATTTGGTTTGTCTCTGATTGTTAGTGTCTTTTAAACTGGATGTTATTGATTACAAAAATTTTCGGGTTTGTGCACTACACCTAGACTTTGTTATCCAGCCTGTGTCCAATGTGTTCCGCTGATTCCAAGTACATCCAGGTTATATACTCCCATTTCTGCAGCAATTTCTATGACTCTCCCGGTCTCCCACATTGTACGAGCATTCCACGTACCTAAATCAATGGTTACTCTGGTTGTCAGAAAGGGCATCAGACTCGTGACTTCCGAAAGTACTCGGCTTTCACCATGAGGCATCGTAACTCTTCTAAATGAAGGCCTTCTAACTCCCGCGGCAGAGTTTAAATGGTTTGGATTATTTTTTCTGTTTAGAGTTTTTTAGCGTGTTAGTTTTCTACAGGACGAGGTCGCTAACCCCATACTCAACCCTCCTCCTTTACCCAAGCTTAGAACCGGCAGTAGCCCTAGAGGGGCTCCGGGCATTAATAATCCATTTCTGGTCTCGAATACTTTTTCATATCAGGCAGAATCATCTGTTTGATTAATTTCGTAATTAATTTGTGTCTAGTGATCGGTTTGATAGACATTTCTTGATAAAGTTTTGTAGTATAGATCTTTCCAAAATATATCCATCGATTGCTTCGTTTTGGTTTTCCGTACAATGGAGGTTCGATAATACGTTTCCCCTTTTCTGAACCGAGTTTATATACAACTAAATTTGTGGGTCATTGGGTTGTTGCTAATGTATTCGAATATTTAATCAGAGTTAGTTTCTGATGAACTTGAGTCTTAGGTTTTCCTATGTTGGTCCTGGTAATGAATACATTCAAGAATGATACTTTGTTGTCTGATTGTGTTTCCAAGGTAAATTTTTTATATACGTATATATCCCTCAATTCATCTTTAGTGTATAAAGCTTCTTTCTTACTGGGGTAGCCGGTTGTGCTCACATATATAGGAAGCTTGTGTATCACTCGTAGAATCGGATTTTGTACGGTAAAGCACTTAACCAGTTTAATAAATCAAATGATGTGTTTGTGATTTATTTGTCACTGAAAATTATAAAGTAAACTACTCAATTCCTGCAAACAACTCCGAGAAATCCGAAAATCGAACATTTTAGTAAGGGACAGAATATATCTTAATTAAATTACATGGATAAACCGATTGATAATTCAGTGTTTTAGATCACCAACGTGGATTATCTATGTCGAATGATTGGAGATCTACTCGAGTTAGACGGGAATGGTATGGCAAACCAGCTGACGTCGAAGTCACAACTCGCTGTCAGCATCTAACGTGGAATACCCCTTCGACATATCAAAGTACTATGGCTACTTTGAAGTCCGTATAACACAAAGAACTTTATTATGAAAATGTATTAGTAAGAATGAGTACAGAGAAGATAGCGAGACCTCCACCGCATACGCCAGTCCATGGCATATGATTAACTGATGAGGGTAGGTTGTTCATGACCTTGACAAGGATCGATGATCTGTTCGATATTCAGTGACCCTACTGTCGGATGATTTGTCCGGGGCTCAATGATATTTCACTGACCCTACAGTGTTTTATTAATCAATTCATAAACATGTTTATCAAATAGAAGAAAACAGGGCTAGGAATCCAGACTCTTTACCATGTTTTAAGTTGCTAAAGACCAAAAATAGTAACCTTCATCATATACGGTATATATTTTGCGAAATTGAGGTTTCGGTAACAATTTTTCAACTATGTATTTTCCTTTTGAATGGCAAATCTAAAAACTAAGATCTCACTGCTTTGTAGATTCCTAATGCACTTGAAAACAAGGTAGACGGTTTAATGCTTCGAGCTGGCAAATTTACAGAAATAAATAACGAAGGTATGTCAACTTTTATTAATGTATCATTGTTCAGGTTTTATTTGTTTAAAGATGTAGTCCTTCAGCTCCAATTTATACCCTTCACATTCAATTTATCTTTTATCTGATTTAATGATGGTATGACTAGGCATCGGAATGTCAAAGTAATTTATTTTAATAGTTTAGACCATGAGTCAATTGAAGCTAGACCACCATGGAAAACCTGGAAGAACTGGACGGCCGTTTCGGTGGCGCAATTTCGTGATTAGGTTGAAGTTAGACATTAACAACTTTAGATGCTGACCCAGTGGTCTAGTTGTTAGGCTCTCTGTGTTTGAATCTCGTGAGGCGGGATCGTGGATGCGCGCTGATGAGGAGTCCCACAGTGGGACGAAACGGCCGTCAAGTATTTCCAGGTTTTCCATGGTAGTCTGGCTTCAGTTGACTCAAGTAATAAAATTGCTATGATATCCACAAAACCACTCTGAAAGTATTTTATGTTAGAACCCATTTTTAGTTTTGAAATAAAACATTAATACTATTTGCAATTCATTTACTAGACGTTCGGTAAAGAAAAAGATGATAAAAAAACCAGTATTACTCTATTCAATTGTCTGTAGAAATCCATGAGTTTTTTAGCATATTCTTCTCTTAAGATCGGGTTTTCTACTACCATTGTGTAAAGTATTATCACCGAAGATATTGCTCAATTATATGAACCACCTTGATGCCATCAAACCCCAGAGAGATAGTACTTTATTCTCGGATTATGAATTTACTTCTATTGTTCTTACCCAATATCCTACCGACTTTCTTTGTAATAGTGTAATGTGATTTACTTTTATGAGAATTGTTAATTCACTTGTTAATTTCAATTGCTCTATTATCTTTCTTATTTCAAGTATATTATGAAGCTAATGGGGAATATTTCACTGTTATAAAGATACCATCAACTGTTGTAAAATCTGGTACTTTGATTGAATACAGTCCACTTACATGTAAGGAAATAATTTCAGAATCTTGTTTATCATTGAAACTTTATTGATCTTTAATATCAGTTCATAAATTGTATTCATGAAATATTTATAGTTTTTTTTGTCAATATGTAATGCATCAATGTATATTATCAATCTGAAATTTACTTATAAAGGCTAAACATGACACTATATGTTATGTACAATTATCAACAAGAAATCTTAATCTATCCTTGCAGAGATCAAAGATTTCGTGTATGACAATTTAGAATTGTTCTTTGAGATCGTGAGTTGATCAATATTAGAACATCACTGGAAGTCTGGAAGAACTGAAGAGGCTTTCCATCTTAGTATGAGACTCATCATTAGTGCATACCTATGATCCCGCATGAGGGATTCGAACCCAGGATCTTCAGTTTCGTGCACGAACGCTTAACTTATAAACCACTAAGCTAGCATTCAATGGTGTTAAGCTTTAACCTCAACCAATTTACGATCGATTCATGATCTCGAACAAATACTCAACAATCTTCACAACCTCATACTGAGAATTTAGAATTGATTGATCTTAAGTAGGAGTAACGAATTATTAATCAAATAATACTTTGTAAATTAAACCATTGTTACTGTTACTTACAAATTTTCTACTTAAATGCAAGATTGTTCATTGTATGTTCCTACTGTATTCTTCTCTAATTGTTATTAAACAATGGTAAATATGTTCAGAATGTTTGAGTTCAAGTTTTGAGCCACAAATGTGTATTTAATTAAGAAAAATTTGATAACCTATTTCTCATTTCATTTAATTTTATTAATTATTAGTTTGAATACTTAATCTTAAAACTAATTATAGTTATTTCACCAATCGACATCATTAACATTCTTAACATTGACATCAATCGATATATTTTGCTATAAACAGGCTCCCATAATGTTCACTAGTGAATTTCAATATCACCATAATCTGAGTCACGTTAAACCTTATCCATCAAGTTTATGATTAACATAAATTCAATATTAACATCATTAATAATGTTGATTTTGTATTCTTGTCAAAGTAAATGATTAGGTTGGATTTTATCATCTTATAGTAATTAATATTTCAATGGCTGTTGTCAAGACTTCCAAATGTTCTGATGTGAGTGTCCTTTGTAGCTTCATTTTTTGGTCCTCTATGACGTGTTGGTATTTGCGGGTCCTGTCATGTGCATCCGTTATCATTAAGTGAACCGTTTTTCTTCCACTTTGCTCATCTATTCTGCATCACAGTGGGCAGTTGATTGGAGGTCTGTTTCTTACACTTGTTGGTAGAACATGCTTACGAAGACACTTGTAGAGAAAATACAGTTGTTTTACAGTGGAAACCTGCCTTTTGGTGAAATTCTTCTATTTTTGAACAATAATACGCGTACTATGCTCATATGATTTTGAGATGGAGATTTTTATCTGAAGTTTATGCTGATAATGTTGTTCAGAAGAACGAGGAAAGCTCCACGACCAAACCATCCAGCCCAGAGAACGAAACTCCATCGAAATATAGTAATTAATATCATAATTTATCTCCATCTTCAACCGTTACTATACCATTATTTCCAGTGAATATTCAAACTGTTGTGCTAAAAAACTTTCTTTTAAAAACTCATTACTTCCTGAATACTTGTTAGAAGTCCTCAGAAGTAAGAATAGTCATATAATTTGTTATTCCACGTTTTTTTCTTCGCCTTCGCCACATTCTTCTCCTTATCATCTCCCTCATTCCGTAGTATGTCAACCTATATTTTAGAAGAGATGATAGATCTCAGAATGGGGATGACTAATAGGTAGGGGGCTTGACTTAATATGGTGAAACCTGAAAGTACTGGATGGGCGTTTCGTCTTGGTATGGGACCCTAACCATAAATAACAACTAGGTTGGGATATACAAAAAAGCATTTCAATAAGCATCAATTACTATTCTAATCTTCAGCTAATGGAAATCTATTTAATACCGAAATCCGTTCATACTCATAACTTTTCTTTCTGGTTAATACTTCATCATGAATGTATCAGTATCATAATGAAACTATAATAACTTCTTTTCATTACTAAAGTCTGTGATGGAATAGATTATGTTGAAAACATTCCTGGAAACATGATGCATTACAAGAACACCTCAATTAACATTATGAGTGATGTTGTTTGTCAAGATATTCAAAATGCGAAGTGCCCAATTATTGGCTGTAATGTAAAAGTAAGCAACTTATAGTTTTATTAAACTATCTTGAAAATTGTCATATTTCAGACCATATATCTAATTATGATACCAACTACTTAATTAATCTAAAAACAAATCAAAGATATCACTTGTAGTATAACAGTTAAGAAAGAGATTGTAGTGGCTGTGTTTCGTTAACCAATCACCCTCGTAACCGTTACCATATAATCTTGAACGGTGTTTGAAATCAGAAGGCAAAGAAAAGCAGCGACTACAATTTTACTAGCAGATAACTCAGACCACAAAGCAGAGAGGCAAATGAATGAGTCAGAGAACCGAGAGTATAGAGAGTTAAATGTACATGTATATATATATATAGGGAAATGAATGGATCATCGAATCAATTAAGCAGCTAATAATAATAAAGCTAGTAGAATGAATATATGCGAAGACGGTAAGCAATGTTCAAGAATACATATTTCATACAAGCACAACAGTAATAAAGGCACAATAAGTTGTTATAGTACGGATGACTTTGTCCGTTAAATAAGTTAACAAAAGGGCTTGACCGAATTAAATGAGAACAAGCTCAATTTCACGTGAGGTGCCGTAAGATCAATCAATTCAATTACTTGTTTTATCGAGCTGTAGAATAAATTTAGATTTATATGTTGCATGTGTGTCAAGTTGAATGAATTAAGAATGACCATCTGTACTATTTTATGCTTATGAGTTACATATGTTTGTTAATGAAAATAGTAGGGTGTTTGAATTTATAACCAATTTTTATTCATCACCTACACCTCAGAGTTTCATCACAAACTCAGTGACTCACTCAACAAAGATATATGTTTTAATGACAGTTGATGATGTTACTTTAAGAGTCAGTCAGTCAGTATCAACAACGTAGAACTTCGTACCTACGTACATCAGTTCGAGTTACTATACCACATTAGCACAGAAATACAAATGTCAATTCAAGTCCTGTAGTGGTAGAGGTAGTAAAAGTATAAGCAGTAATTGGAAACATTAGGGTTTGAAGATTTTATTCAACGAGTATGATCCAGTGAAGTAAATTTGAAAAGAGAAAAAGAAAACGGACATGAAAAATTCAGAAGATTAGAATTTGGGAGGACACAAAGAGTGGATGCAACTGCTCGATTGCAAATGATTTTGAGCCATGTCATTCAAGGTCTCTAACCATCGGTCGCTATCGTCTCGCGGTTCCCAACCAGGTAGTCTACACCTAGCAACATGGCTCACTCAATTCACTTGTCAGTGACTTCATAGATTTGTGCCATGTTTTAGTCTGGACACCCATAGCTTTCTTTCAACCTACTCTTACACACTTTAACAGTAGTACGCAATGCTTTCAACTGTTATTGAATTAAATTGTATAATATGTACTTAATCAAACAGGATTCGAAAGTTATCTCGAAAAATATCATAGTAATTATGTTTCATTATTTAAATAGAACATTAACTAAACTTTAAGCGGAGATCTGACCACTTGTAAGATCTGGTATTTCTTTCAAACTACGATGAACTGAGAAATTCAAATAAGAAATTAAGAAAATCACAATCAAAACTCCAATATTAGAAATCTTCGTTGAATGTCTATTCATATCTAGATAGTCTAGTTATCATAGTTCGTGAGATGGTGCGGAAGAATTGTAGCTCAGACTGATGATTTTGATGGAGTCGAGGTGTACAGAACAAGCTGTGAAACGCATATGGAGAAATTCGAACATTTCACTTCTATTTGAAGTTTATACTGATGATGTCTTCCAGAAGAGCGATGAAAGGTCCATGACCAAACCATCCAGCTCAAAGAACAAAACTATCAAAATCATTGTTAGTTCATAATATACAATGATAACTACTTTTGATTATTGCATTGTAAAAAATGTAAAAACAATAAGTAATTAAACATGGTTAGCTGATACAGTACTCACGTATTAAAATCAAACTAACGTTTACCAAAATGTTTGAAGATTGTAAATGAATGTATTCAAGCACCTAAAATAGGATGGAATTTTTTATAGATCAAGTAATCAGTATCAGAAAACGTTTTTATGGTGATTGTAGTAATTTCAATAGTTGAAATCATGAGTCAATTGAAGTTAGACCATCATGGAAAACCTGAAAGCACTGTATGGCCGTTTCGTCCTACTGTGGGACTCCTCAGAAGTACGCATTATACGACTCCACCTCGCCGGATTTGAACCCAGGACTTATCAGTAAACGACAAACTTGGCCTAATACATCAAGACATAACTACTCATTCATATCATATGTTAAGATGTTTACTAACTTAGTAAGTCCCATAGTAATAATACTAATTCTAATAATAATAATAATAATAATAATAATAATAATAATAATAATAAACAATCATTATTTTGTTTTGTTTGTTTAAACCATACTGAACTATCTGATGTGAATTCGAATAAACCAATCAACAAGGGTATAGAAGTCTCCAACAATGAAAGTACATATTCTACAGAGGTAATAACAGAACAAACCATAAACAATCGATTATTACCAAAAACATTTTCATTAATCAGTTATGAACAGCAATTATTACAATCTGGTCGAAATGTTGATGTTGATTTGGTGATGCGTCGTTTCACTATCTCACTTTTATTACCATTTCTATTGATAGCTACAGTTTTATGCATTGCTTTTCCATTATTTTTATATAGAAGACGTAAGTTGATCTATAAGAATCTTATCAATATGAGTAGTATTATTTTCCAATAATCTGATTAAATTTCTATGTATACCAAGGTATTTCTAAGATGGTAAAGAAGGTTTGTAACTCAGCTGGATGATTTTAATGGAGTTTTGTTCTCTGAGCTGGAAGGTTTTGTGACGAGACTCTAATTTATGAACAACCTTTGAACGAATCTTTAGTGACCTTGAGAAATATTAGCCAATCAGAGAACAGTTAGTATAGAGTAAAAAATATATAAAAAACCAAAGAGTTAAAGTGGATACACTTATTTTACATGGTTCAAAAACTTGTCAAGGTTAGAAAGAGGTTCAGAGGTTCTAAAATCGTAACGCATACGATAGAGGAAATCATCCATATGGCTTCATAATAGTCGGCCTCTGGAGTCATGATAAGGTGTCAAAAACTATTTCAGCCCCGACCATACAGTTCCAGTATTGTTTGTGTGCACTCCGGTTGTTGGGTCTACAAAATGCCGCTTGTGTATAACGACACGATACATATAACTAAGTGTATATAGGCATCTGTATACTTTCCAACCATCTGTATATATTGTAGTACCCTACTCTAGCCAGTGTTACTGATGCTTTCTTATCCAGTTTACTTTATCCAGTCATAGTTTGTCAGCTTCAGTCTGGATCGAGCGAAAAATGTCCTATTCTAACAGACTTCTTCCTCTAACACATATTACATAGAAAGACATCACTAAGGTAGTCTGCACAAAGTCTACAAGACATTTGATTACCAAAATCACATATAAAGGAAGTTCTTGTAAGTCTCATTTCCTGTAACCGCTCACTCATAACGTTTCCTCTATACTTTGCTGTGAGCCGACCGTACGTGAGCATCTGGTACTGAAATTGGCATCGTGATCTTGAAATCCCTCTGACGCTTCTGATTGAAATGACCATAATGATAATACAAATGGCTGTATCAAATAATGTCATTGCGATTTCCCAGATGATTGTGAATATAACACTGAATAATTTAAATTATGTAGTTAAATTTCATAAAACAACTAATCAAATTCTTATAGATATTAAATTATTACTTGACTTATACTTAATCATATTCATCTACGTCATTTATCTATTTTATTTGAACACAAATATTGCTACAAAGAGGCACATAAGTCACTTGATTTTTTGTGTGAGTTGTGATACTACCTGGATGCTCATATGAAGCAGGTGAGTCCCTTAAGGGGCCACACCCGAAGCCTTTAACTTCAAGGTCTAGTTCACAAGACAGTGGAGCAACGTAAGGAGATGCAGTCCCATGGTAGCCGATGACCAATAGTTGGTTCATACGACATTTGTTCCTTCAGGATCCTGGAGACCATGTGCACAACTGGTTGGAATCAGGGTTTTCCAACTCCCTTCGAAAGATTACTCTCGACTTCCAATGCAGAGTCTCGTTATGTTCTTCGTCTGATGCCTGTTGTAAACACATGTCGGTCAGATTTGCCGTCACTCGAAAATTGTGTGCTAAAAGCGTGGTCGAACTTCCTTGGCCTAGCATCATGTAAAATAAATACAAAATGTTCTAAAGTTGAGGTACCTCTAGACCAGTCAAATGATGAAGAAAACGCAAATAATGATAACGAGTCCTCAATTTTCCATATCCACTAACCCGATTAAAGCACCGGATATTCGCTTTTCGTCCTCTAAATTTCGTAAACTACAGTAATGCCACGAGAAGGCAGTGAGTAGGACTTCCCTGGTAGTGTCTGTATACTCGTGGCCATGTGAGAGTATTTCGAGTGGGAGAGCTAACTCTCCCCATTCTCGGCCGTACCAGGGGATTTGGGGGGGATGAACTCATTATGTGAATGATTTCGTCACTGAACTAAATTGTTTTACAAACAAAAATTTTAAATTAATTGTGAGTAAGATAATTGAAACGTGCAGATCATGAGTTAACAAATTACATAATATTAAATAAGAGAATTAACGAACCATTTTTTTGAAAAAAAAGTGTCAGATATTAGAACTGTTCACTTGGTATCGTTTGCTTGTATCTTCTCATTAATGTTTAGGACTGCAATTGATCAATCTGTTAGTAGCATATGTGCATCGTGTGAGAACTGCCTCTATATTGCCTTAGGTCACAAGCTTTATAAGTAAAGATGAATGGTGGCTAGTAGTAGAATCTAGAACGCGCGTTTAGTCCTATTTTGAACTCGTCAGCTGGTTGTACCTGCATCTCAGATTTAATGTTCACTCTGGGAATCGAACCCATTGTTCACTAAGAGCAAACTAACAAATATTAAAACTATGTACCAATATGACAACAACAAAAGAGAATTAGAACTGAAAAGAAAACAAAACATAAGTTCAGTTTTAGTCCGCTCTGCATTAGTCTACATTGTAGAGCGCTTTATTTAGACATCATTTATATCGGATGATGTTGTCGATAGGCGCATCAATTTTTGTGACTCTTTAACTGACTCTAGTAATATCATATGATTAATAGTTATATTGATTGTATATTTCATACAATCGTGGATCCAGGAAAAAAATCAGAGAAGCGAAGAGAAAAGAGCGGAGCGAAATGACGCGCGGTGGAGTAGTCATGTAAACCAACTCCATCAAATCAAGCGTTAATCAATATTTATAGCCAGATAAAAATACGTTAGAGACATGTGATGAATAGGATAAGAAGGGCACACATATATACACTCATATAAAAACAGTCAAGGTTGATATGCAAGTAATTAACAAGGTCAAAATGTGACTTAAGTGGAATCAATAGACTGACCTGTCCAGAAGCTGTAATAAGTTATGTGGACTTAACATAGTAACCGACACTACAACATCAAGAATAATAATAGATTAACGATTAGCATAAATATTTTTCAGACACAGTGGTTTGACTTGTAAACATAGATACTTATTGGTTAGATGGTGGTTGGAGGTGGTTGACAGGAAACCCTGGACCCGAGTTTCATGCTACTTGGCACTCGTCAGCAAGGTGTACCTGTAATCTTGAGGGAAGTGGTGCTCACACATGATATTGATCACCACCCAGTGATCAATCAATTGTGAATACTTATTGGTTCGATAATATACAAAAGACCAAAACGATGAAAACTCCACGACTAAACCATCCAGCTAAGAGAACAAAACATATTTATAACCACCTGATAGATTTGTTCCAATAAATTTCGCTTAGTTACATTTCATTTTAATTATGAACTTATGAATCAAGTAAGCAACTATAAACCTCCATTTATCATCTTCTATTGAACTAAATAATAAAGAATGATAGTGTATTTGTAGTAAATGTAACTCAATGTATTGATTAATTTTAGGTGTGTGTGTGTATGTGTTTTTTTTAAAATCTCCTTTCTATTCCCCTTTTTTGTATTATTCTCCTTTTAGGAGTACATAGGATGATCAGTTAAAATTACAAACGTCTAAGAAATCAAACATTCCTGGGAATTTGGTTCTTTTTTTTTTAATAATTTTTTCTAAGAATAATCTCAATTCAACAGACAAGGATTGAGTACAGCTTTACTTTAAGTGTAATCTTTTATTATCTATATATACATATACAATGGTGTAATGTAAAATCTCATTGTGAAACGTTTAACATTTGGTCTAATCTATTGTAAAGTTCAATGAATGTATATAACTTGATTTTAATATTTTTCAGATATCTAACATCACAAGTTTTATAATAAGAGATGGGGGTTTTGTGGAGATTGTAGTAATTTTAATAATTGAATTTATGTGTCAATTGAAGCTAGATCATCATGGAAAATTTATAGGCACTGGTTGGTTGTTTTGTTCTAGTATGGGACTTCTTAGCAGTGCGAATCCACTATCCCGACTCTCAAGATTCAAACCCGAAATCTATCAGTAATACACTGACAATAATGATGGATGGTGGTGCAACTTTGTGGATTGGTTAGAGTTAGACATTAACACCATTGGATGCCGGCCCAGTGGTCTGATAGGTCCTAGTTTCGAATCTCGTGATGCGGGGTCGTGGATGTGTACTGTTGTGGAGTCTTGTAGTAAGACGAAATAGCCGTCCAGTGATGTCAAATTTTCCATGGTGATCTAGTTTCAAATGACTCATGAATTCATATAATAAATTACTATAATCTCTACAAAACCCTTCTCTGATATGCGAATATTCAAAATGTTACTAATACCTTTTAAGGAATAGAATGCATATAGCTCGAATCATCGATTTAAAATATAATTAACAATTAGAATGTTAAATAATTAATTAGATTATGACTTAATTAAGAGAGTAAGATGCCTTTACAACTGTCTATATTGAATGGAGATATTCTTTAGAAATTTTATAAGAATTCACTTTGAATTATATACTCTAATTTACTTTTACATTTTGATCGATGTTATTCACCACATACAAGTAGTAGTATGATACAATGCCAATAAACTAATTTGAACGATTTGGTATGTTGATCTGATTTACAAATAAGGTAACATCAGATTATTACTTAGTATTCTAAAAGACAACTAGCTGTATTCTTCAATATGAATCAATTTTTTTATGTGAGTTGTTCCAAATGAATAAATGATTATCACTAATGACTATGGTGAACAGTGGCGCAACTCTGTGGATTGTTTGAAGTTAGACATTAACATCGATGGTGTCTGGCTCAATGGTCTAGTGGTTAAGCGTGAGGCGGGATCAAGGTTGCGTATTGCTGAGGAGTCCTGTAATAGGACGAAACAGCCGTCTGGTGTTTACAGGTTTACCATGGTGGGCCAGGTTCAATTGACTCATTAATTCAACTAGTAAGTTATTAAGTATTATGTTACATGGACGTAATATCTGGGATTTTGAAAGTACTCAGTGATTGATCATATAAAGTAATAATTCGAGTAATATTTTTTCAATAAAGATTTACAGATAAATGTTCTGACTGAATGTGTAAATCGGTTTCCTAAGATCTTCTAATAACCCCAGGCTACATTTGTATGACGTAAACACAAGAGAGAAGCGCAAAGTATTAAAAAATCGCTTTTTAAAACGTTTAGTTTATGTAGGTTTATGAAGGTATTTTTAGCATTTCAGATGGCCTCGGGATTCTGCGAGTTTATGGAATCATACTAAACATAGTAACAGAATAGGTAATCATTCAATCAGAAATATTACATGTGACACATCATTTGCTACATGTTTCTGAGAAATGTCTACTCAATGTTGATTAGATAAAATGTTTTCCAGAGTTTTCAGGATCCCTGTGTAATTATTCGACGAATAACAATTACTTTGGTGATTGAACTCAAGGTTTCTAACTTATCATGCAGTTACCCTAATTTGTGTAAGCTCATTCCATCCACAAACAAAGTAGATATACCCAATGCTGTTTTTTTAATATTAATTACACTTCAAATTTATCATAATCCATAACCAACTTCACAGTGTTGATTAAGTTTTAGTTGGCAAGTAATTATTAGGAATATCATAAGAAAGAACAACGAAGTATTTATTTCTGGCAGAAAATATACTCGAAAATGATAGTCAGTCAGCTATACAGTAGGACCAGGCACATATATGCATCGATCCAAGTTGCCATACCTCATAAACACAACAAGAGGAACACCGAACTCATAAAAAGCGTTAACTCAGTGGTGGTAATATATAAAAGAAAGATTGCATATAAGGATACAATACAGGAAGAAAAGATCCATTCGTAGAAAGAAAGATATAAAGTCATTTTAATCCCACAGTTTAAGGGAAGACAAATAGTGTATACACCCACACCATTGTGATCGATTCTGATCCATGACACCTACAGTCTCCAACTATTGGTTAGAATAGTCACGTGGACCCCGATCAAGTAGTCTAGTAGTATCTACCAACATGGCTAAGACTAGAGGTTAGTGACTTCAAGTATTGATGCCACGTTTTGGTTTGGCCGCCCCTAACTTTCTTCCAACCATCTTCAACACGAGTCAGCATTGAGCGTTGTGGTAATCGGTGTTCAAGTATACGTAACAAGTGTTCCAACCATCTCAGTCGATGAAGATTCACAACTTCATCAACTGATTTAGCATCATTCCCTAATACCCTGTGTCTAACCTTACTATTACTAACCCGGTGATCCCAGCAGATGCAAGGTATCTGTGGTCAAATCAAAGAACACTAGCAAACAATTATCTTCAATTATGAATGAGTTGAGATCCAAGACAAGATCGTTAGTCAGAAGATTAATTTTCTCCGTACAGTGAGATGATATGTTGATATAAAATTATCAACATAAAATAAACATGGTAAAATTTCATATATGGTTGAAGGAAGTTATTTCGTAGATCACTCATTCTCTAATTAATTATTACCTTATAATTAACCACACAATAATTAAAGCTTATGTACGTTAAGTAATATAATAGTATTATTAGTGTCAAAATTATTTTCAAAGAATTTGAGTCATTTCAATATATTAAATCTAGTTGAACATTTAACCTCAATCTCCATGTGATATGGGAATTTTAGCGAAACCAAAGTTACAAGACTTGGAGAAGAATATGTTACTTTTAGATGGTGGTTGGAGGTAGTCAACAGGAAACCCTGGACCCGGGTTTCGTGCTATTTGGCACTCGTCAGCAAGGTGTACCTGTAATCTTAAGGGAACTGTTACTCCCTGGCGGATTCGACCTCGTGTCACCCAGCTTCACAGTCAGAGACGTTACCACTGAGCTATCCGAGCCGTGACTAACCTCCTGTAGGACTGAGATTTAATAACAATTGATTGATCACTGGGTGGTGATCAATGTCATGCTTGTCTAGTCCTTATTAGTGCAGATCAAATGCTATCGATCGTGTTGCAATCAATCAATTGTGATTACATCTCAGTCCTACAGGAGGTTAGTCACGGCTCGGATAGCTCAGTGGTAACGTCTCTGACTGTGAAGCTGGGTGACACGAGATCGAATCCGCCAGGGAGTAACAGTTCCCTCAAGATTACAGGTACACCTTGCTGACGAGTGCCAAATAGCACGAAACCCTGGTCCAGGGTTTCCTGTTGACTACCTCCAACCACCATCTAAATCTCAATACATAGTGCCCGCAGTGTTGAGTCACCTAGACTGGTGGCCACATTGCAACACGATCGATAGCATTCGATCTGCACTAATAAGGACTAGACAAGCATGACATTGATCACCACCCAGTGATCAATCAATTGTGAAGAATATGTTACTACTTGTTGTTTGATGTCTAAGTCTCAATCACACCATCGAAAGCACAATCAAATAGACACTATATCTTTCAAATAATACATTTGGAATCGAATTACACCATCAAGTATGAACCTTAACATAATATATGGCTGTTAACTGGGAGTATTTGTGGATTCCGAAATTAAATGTCAAAATTAAACTAGCTATTTCATTATAAACAAACCTCTAATTAACGGTGTACACATGAAAAACCTTTGGAAAGTGCTTCAGTCAATAGTAGGAATGAATATTGAAATAAAATTACAAATGAATTTTGAGATGGTAGAGAAGATTTACAGATCAGGTGGATAACTATCGTGGAGTTTCGTTCTCTCGACTTAGATTGTAGATGAATGGCACAAGTGGCCCATTGTGAAAGAATCCATTAGTCATATGTATGCAAATGGTTAAGAAAATAAATCAAACTACTGTAAACTATAAAGTAGTGTCAAATAAAATACAAAAACGTTGAGCTAACAATCACCAAAATCAAAAGAGGAAACTGATTTATCAGGATAATCCTTATACAATAAAATGGTTACATGAAAAATTCATCCTCCACACAAGCTAATCGGACGAATTTATGGCATTTTTCATGAGACGGTTAGTAACATACAGTGAACAAATTAAAAGTGAGCGTACTATTGAAGGATAAATATATGACAAATCAGTAAAGCGAAATGGATGAATTGTAGGAAATGAGATGAGCCTTTGTGTAGAATTCAACGCATGATACAATATGACTAAACGGTCACATTGCCTATAACAATGGATGATGATATTTCCCATAGAAATAACAGGAAAAGAAGAAAGATATTCTCAACCAATCAACCGATTACGTCTCAGCTAAACGCACTACTTAACCCGAAATAAATTCAGTTTTAGGCAAAAAGCAAATGAATCTTACTTAAGACATGATTGTACCAAATAGATAGCTAACCTAGTTCTTTTCACTCAGATCAACTTCACTTTATTTACTCCCAGTAGAACCCACGTTTAAGTGAATTCCGTACTGAAACATATTGCTCCCTTGGTAAGCCTCTTAACACCTACCCAATAACAACTGGAAAGGATTATCCAAGACAGAGTTCGATGGAGAATGCTGATAGGCAATCTATGCTCCTCCACGAAGGGTAACATGTGTAATTAAGTAAATAATGTGCCCCTATGACTCATGCTACTTATGTCGGCAGACGTAAACAGCATGGAACACCGGTTAGAAGTGTATTACCCGTCAAAAGAAGGTTGAGAAGACTGAACTGTGCAAAACAGAAAGACAAAAAGGAATTGAGGAGTGGCAAAATCATGAGATTTAAAGGACGATTGATGGAGGATTTGCAAATAAAGAAATTTAATATGTGGTTTTCACATTTTACGAAAGATTTTTTGTAGTTTTGCATAAAATAATAAATTAATCATCCCTATTT